CGTCGGGCAGAGAGGGGGTGGTGCGTGGATGGTGGTGGTCGGGGGGCGGAAGGGGGCGGAGCTCCCCACACGCACCGGCCAAACGCGTTGCGTGAGTTTTTTATTTCAGCGCGTGCTCTCATCAGGCGTCGCCCTCTCTCTTTCCCACTCCCTTCGAAGCCGCCGTCTCTTTCCCCCCATTCAATCATCTGCTAGAACTTTTGCTAATTTCGTCTAATCAGCTAACCTTGAATATTTGTTTTATTCCCCGCCACCATCCCGCGGGTGTATTTATTCTCGTTTCATTCTTCTTTTTTTGCCCACGTTGGAATTTGCCCTCTGCCGCTGCTTCTTCTACGCGCGAGTTGTTATTGCCGTTGTTGTTTGTGCCTCAATTTATTTGAGGCTTGTTTTATTTCAAGGTGAAATATGCGCAAATAAAAATTGCCGAAAAATATCGAAAGAAAATTGCCAAAAATATAAGGATAAGGGCAACGAAATGGATACACCCTATAATTTTTTGATTACGAATAGCCGTATACTAATTTTAACAATTGAAAGCGTGGACACGGGAATGATCTATAATATTAAAAATTAATATTTAATCATTTTTTTTCTGGCAATTAAGTGTTCTAATTTTTTGTTAAACGTTTGCATATAATTTTGAAAACCTCTTACTACAGCTTTTTTCAATTGATAGTTTTTAATTTAATTAAAATATTGATTGTTGTCCTAAAATTTTAATTATTTTAAGTGATTTTGATATTTATAAATATTTTTTTGTTGGGTGTTTTCTTTAACAATTTTCCAAATAATCCTTTTTATATCAACATTATATACAATATTATAAAATAAATATTTTTTGTTAAAACTGTAAAATATAATTATTTGGCAATCTGTTTTCCAATGCTTGAAAATAATTTGAATGAAATATATTTAAAAGTACCAATGATCTTCAATGATCATTTGTAGCTTAATTTGTCCTGCACAACCTTAAAACTCTTGCCAAATGAACTTATTTCCACATAAGAAAGCCAAATAAAGTATCAACCATTTGAATGTCAAATCAGTGACCAAGAAGAGCTTCCATTGATTGATTCCCTAGTAACCCAACCCCCGAAAGTGCAGTGCACTGCTGCATTTCCTGCTTGTCACTTGTCGCCTGTCACTCATTACTCATACGCCACCGTGCCCACACTAAGTTAATTTGTTGCGCTCTTCAAGTTTCTTTTTCTGATTCCAATTCCGCCTGTGACCCGCCACCTCCCCCTTTCCCACCTCATCTCACTTGGCTTTGACATTGACTTTGAAGATAACGAAGTGTGTGTGTGTACAAGTGGCTCTCTCTCCTGCACACTTAAAATTAGAATACCCTCACACGTTTTAGCTGCTCTTATCGGTGTTTTTCTGAGTGGTGGGCGGTGGGCGGTGCTGGGGGGTGGGATGAGTATGAGTATGAGTATGAGTGTCTGCCTATCGCTGGCATCGACTATTGTTATCTACACGCGGCACTCACGCTGCCCAGACGCTTTAACCAGTTAGGGCCACCCCGTCCGCTACAACAAAGTTGATTTGATTATTTCGGCAAATTCATTTCGCGACTCTTATCGGCTCAAGGTCACGGGCAAAATTTCAAAACACACACACACAGACACGCCCAAAACCAACAAAAGCTTAGGACAGACAGGCGCGACATTGAAAATAATCGCTATTCTCGGGGCGAAAGAAGAAGCGGCAACCGCAAAGAGTCGAATGTGAGTGCGATAGGCTTTGGGCGTCTATGAATGTGGGGATGTGCGATCGGCAGATGGGGAGGGGCGGAAACGATGAGTAAATAACCAAGGGTTACTTAGAATGGGTGCTACTATTATAAACGTCTACAGTCAAAGAAAAAAAAGAGTACTTCGGTGATTTCAAATTGAGGGGAATGCTTAAATGATCGAACGTCACTTAAGTGCCTTCTGAAAATTTTATGTTAATATATTTTACCCTGTGCAAATAAGCTGCATAAAACCAGTATGAAAGATATATAACAACTTTAGGATATATAGTCATCAGATTTTGAATAAAAATCAACTTGGGTTTCGGTTTTTTTATGAAACCCCTGGTAGATAATTGTCAAATGTTGGAGTGTCATACCCCATTGAGTTCGTTATAACACATCCAATCAATCGGCATAATTAGCTGAAAAATCTAACTTTTTGTAGTTTTCTACCCAGGAGCAGCTGGAAATATTGCTGTCCAAAGCATACAGCTGGTCAAAAGCTTAGAACAAGAAAAGTACTGTCAACAGTACTTTTAATAACCAGAGAGTGTTCCATTTTCCATTTGCTTTTTAAAACCTCCCAAAGTCAAATAAAAACACATGCGATTCTTTTTCATAATTTTTGTTGATATATTTTAAATACTTATTTTCAATATTTTATTCACATATTCCATTCTGGGGGGTTTTTCATTGTGGTTCCATTTAAAACAAACTGTAATATTATGTTATTTCACAAATACAAATTTCTGCTGTTAATTTTTTTTATTTTTATGGAGATTTAATCAATTGTCAAAACATTTTTTCGTTTTCTTGCATACTTCCGCACTTTCTCGCTGTCTCAATTTTCACATTTTTTGTTTTTTACCATTTTTGCCAAATTCTCATGTTTAAAAACTCTTTTTTGCCGCAATTTGTCTTGTGACTTTCCTTGAAAATATATTCATGTGTGTATATATATATTAATAGATATTATTTATACGGTATTTCATATGCCTCAGCTGGAGTTGCCTCAAAGTTGCATTATTCATTTCAATGTTTTAGTTGCTATTACGTTACGTTAAACTCTTACGGCTGTTTACGGATACGTTTTACATATACTTTTACGTTACGTTACGCTTAATTGTCGCAATTTCATTGTTTCAGTTGTCGCTGCCGTCGTTCGGTTGGATTTCCCTATCAGAATCCATCACCATTATCATCATCGTGACCACCATAAACACCCATCTTACTCATCGCCCAATGCTGAGATAGTTTTTACATAAAATATTCACTTTTAGTTACACAATTACAATATTTGGTTGTGGTTTTTTCTGGCTAAAAGTTACGGACAATGTTACATACACCTACATACATACACACAGACACCAAAATCGTTTCATCTACGTACATATGCTTGTGTGTATATATAGAGTCAATTATTGAAGTGTGATATCTTTGTTAATTTTCGTGGTTTTTGGTGGAACCAACGCTTCCTTACGCTGCATAAATTTTAAAAGAATATAATATTTCTTGTAGATTTTCGCTCCTCTTCGAATTTCCTCCGCCAACGTTGAGGATTCTTTTGTTTTACACATTTTCCTTGTGGCTCATTTATACACATAAAATTGTTGTTGATTTAATTCTAATATAAATACTTTAGATATAATTTTGTGAATATTTTTTACAGCACGGTAGTCAAAAAGAAAAATAAACCAACTGAAACAATAAATCTTACCACTCCAAAACAAAGTAACCAAAAACTGAAAATAGGAAAATGGTTGAACTGAAAAAGAAAATTGAAATGAAAAAACTTAAGAGGTTTTTTTTTGAAATTTTTAAACAAATTTTTTATTGATTTGACAATACAAATTTCTGCGCCAGTGTAATTTTTTGTTTGTTTTTTGTTTTTTTTTTTTTTTTTGCATCTTTGTTTTTTGTTGTTGGTTTGTCTAAGCATAAAAATCGTAATTAATTAATCATAATAATTAATAATCATAATAGTACATCATAATTAAAATGTAATTAATATAATAGTTTTGTTGCTACCGCAAGTTTTCTCTTTTTGTTTTTCTGTAATATAAATGTATACTTTACGTTTAAATAATATATCATAATTTCTGTTTGTTTTTTTTTGTATTTTTTGCTTGGTTTTCTAAGACGCCAATCAATCATTGAATCTTTTAAGCATAGGTTTCTTCATTAATAATTATGTGTATTTATATGTACTTTAAATATGTTTTTGTGTTTAATTTAACATTTAACTATGTACACAACAGATATATTTAACGTTGGGTTTTTCTGCTTCATCATCGTCTTACTGCTTTCTGCTAAAACTTTAAGCATTTTGTTTGATTTTCATTCATTTCGTGTTTATTTTAATTGTATTTTTTGTGGTAGTTTTAAAATTAGAAAACAATATTTATTCCACTTGATTCTTTAGCATAGAAAAGAGATTTGTGCCAAAGGAGAAATGAGGAACGCGGATAGTTGACAGATAGGCAGACAGAAAGATCGATAGAAGGGTGGAAAACTATAACAAATTCATAATATTAGTTAAATTCATAAAAAATGAATCGTTATCAACTTAATCGTAGTTAAAATTTGTTGCAAACTGCACTTCAATTCTGCTTGGAGATCGCACAATAAAAAATTTCACACACATTGTTTTGTTTTTTTTTAGGTATTTAAAAATTTAATAATAATAATTTGCAGTTTTTTCAAAAAACATCCAAAAAAAGCAAAGTAGTTTTGCTCCACCTACAACTAAAGCGCTAAACATAGTTACTCATAAACGTAATTAATATGTACAACAAGAGCTTAAAACTTATAAAACAATTAGGGGTCGATAGACGGGTGGCGTGAGGGGTGTTGGGGGGTTTGGGGGGTGTATGGGGGGCTTGTGGGTAGCAGCTGAAGAAAAGTCAATGCAAAATCAGAGCGCTGCCTTGTTTTTGTTTGCCTGCTTGCTACTTTAAAGTTTAACTGCTAAAATATATTTATGTTTTTTTCTGGTTTTCTTTTTTTTTCTTTTGTAATACCATTCAAGCTTGGGTTTTTTTCTTGTTTTGTTTGTTTTAAATTAATAACTTGTAGTTGTTTTGTTTGTTGTTGCTTTAAATATTAGTTTTTTTGTTGTTGTTTTAAATTGCATGCATGTTGGTTTTGCTTTGAAACTTTGTACACGGCTCAATTAAAAGGTAAAATAATTTAATTCAACTCCCGCCGATCCCAGTGATCCTGCTTCCTTCGCTGAACTGCCACTCCCAGTCTCTGTCTCTCGCACTTCTCCTTGTCCTTCTCCTTCTCCTGCTCCTTGTGTAACCACCCTTACGCCTCCAGCTTGACCTTGTGCACGGCGGTGGTCAGTCCGGGATTGGGTGATCCCGATCCCGATACCGATCCCGATCTCACACTCGCCGGCGGACTGCTGCTGGGCGCAGGACTCGCCGCCGCCGATGGCGGACCATTCGAGGCGGTCACCGTGACATCGGCGGACAGTGTGGGATACCGCTGAACGGCATTGGCGGCGGCCACCAGAGCGTGCAGCTTGCTGGGCGGCGGCGTCGGCGATTTCTTGGACAGATTGAGCGGCTGCGCCGAGTCGGCAATGTCCACCTGGAGTTCCAGCATCGGTGCGACGGCACCCGATCCCGAACTGGAGCTCGCCGGGGCACTGGTCCCGTTGCTCGTCGAGTGCGGCGACTGGAAATACTGGCAGCTGCCGGCCGAACTGGAGCTGCAGTTGGAGGATGTGGAGGAGGAGGACGAACTGGAGCTGGAGCTGGAGCTCGAGCTGGAGCTGGAGCCATTGCTGTGCGGCGAGACGGACTGCTGGCGCTGCTGGCAGGTGGTGGTGATCACCGAGCTGCTGCCCCATCGCTGTTGATTCTGGCCCACCGGCGGCGGTGTGGAACTGCTGCTGGGACTGCGGTTGCCCACACCGTTGGTGGTGCTGCTGGCCGCCGTGCTGTTCTCGCGCTTCAAGTAGTTCTGGATGATGTCGCTGCGCTTCATCTGCTCCGGCGTCATGCGGGGCTCGGCCATCAGGGACTTGGCCAACACCGAGTGTGAGCTGGCCATCGAGGCCTTGGGACTGCTGCGTGTCAAATGCATGTGCAGTTGGCTCTGGGCGGGATTTCCTAGGGCGGCGGAGGCGGCGGCGCTGCCCACCACCGAGGGCGGGGGCGTGGCCACACTGTTGGGCACCGGACTCTGCCGCGGACTGCCCGCACTGAGGCTATTCGAACCGGATGTGGAACTGCTGGCATCCGCCTCGGCGGTCTCGAACTCGCGATGCCTCAAAGCCCGGAACTTCTTGTGCGGCTTGTAGGCCTCGTCCATCAGCGAGTTGGTGTCGTAAAGTGGCGGAGCCTGCAGCACGCGCTTCAGCACCGGCATGTCCTCCACAATCTGCCGCTTCAGATGGCCACTGCTCGAGGGTTGGGGCGAGCGGACGGGCGACACGGCCACCACACTCAGCTGGGGATGCTGCACCACTTGGGCCTGATTGCCGGCGGCATCACTGCAGTCCAGGGCATCGTCCACACTGGATCGCGGACTCGAGCAGGAGGAACTGCCTCCCGAACTAACGGCCTTGCATTCGTTCTTCTCGTTGCCCGACTCAATGCCCGAATCCGTGGGTGAATCCAGTTTCCTGTAGCGGGCTGCTCCGGCTGTCAAATGGTGGTGCAATTGTGGGTGCTGCTGGTGGTGCATTTGCTGTTGCTGCTGCTGTTGTTGCTGCTGATGCTGTTGTTGCTGCTGCTGTTGCTGCTGCTGCTGCTGCTGGTGGTGTCGAACAATCGGCGTGATTGTCAGCCCATTCTGGGTGAGATGTGCATGCGAGCCGACAATGTCCATGTCAGCGGCCCCGGAGTCACCACTGGAACCGGAATTGGCCCTGTTCCTCAGGGGGCATCCGCCGGAGAGGGTGGCCGCCAGCAGGGGAGCGGAACTGGCCAGCGCCGAGGGCTGTTGCTGCGGCGGCGAGGGCAGGGACATGCCCTGCGGCTGCGAACTGCTCGGACTGCCGTAGTCCAGATCCGCCGACTCGCTGCTCGACACCGAGCCCAGCGGACTCTTGGCCGCCTCCACGTCCATGGCATCGGCCCAACTGCCCGTGGGCGACTTGTTCTGCTGCCCATCGCTGTTGTTGCCATCCTCCATGGACCACATCTGCTGGCGCAGCAGCTCCTTGTGCTCGGTGCGGAATACGACCAGCTTCTCGGTGTGCAGGGTGCTCAGGGTGCGCAAGTCGGGCATGGTCTCCAGCAGCTTGGCCAGGAACTCCGGCTGATCGGGCCTGTTCTGGGCCACAATGTACTGCAGACAGCCCTTGAGGCGCGAGTACATCTTCTCGATCAGTTCCAGGTTGCGCAGACCCGGACGATCCGGGGTGATCAGTACGATGGCGCAGAACAGACCGATCTCGGCATCTGTCAGGTTCATCGAGTTCATGCGCTCCGCAAAATTGAAGGTGGAGTCCACCAGGAAGCGGGCATTGGCTCCATTCTGGATCGCATCCCGTCGCATCACCTGGCCATTCAGGCAAATGATCGAGTTTATCGACGAATCAAACATGCAGATCAGGCGCACAAACAGCGCATCGAAGAGTCCCGCCTTCAAAAGCGTGAACTTATCATCCTGGGTGAGCAGCTGGAAGCCGGGAATCATGCCGGCAAAGTCGATCACGCCGCGAATCACGTGGGCGAAACGCTGCGAGAACTCCTGCTCCGATTGCAGTTCAGGGGCGGGGTTCAATGGACAGGCCTGCAATGATAGGGAAGAAAGGGGTGAAAGGTTAAAAAGGGTTACTAAGAAAATAGAGATCTTAAATAAGTTATTTAAATAAAAAACTATCTTCCTATCTGGTATAATAATTTATAGTTTTTATTAGGGATTCCAAGACTAGGAAACTTAAATATGTTATCCAAAAAAATACTGTTCCACTATCTGCTATATTATATTTCTAGCGTATTTTAAAGAGTAGTTTTTATTAGGCAATCCAATACCTTTTCCTTATACTACCCTATAAAAATACTATCGAAAAAGTTGCTTTGCATATAAAACTTAAGTCAAATGCTATCGCTGCTGTCAGTCTGAATGGTAAACTTTTCCTGTAACTGTTGCTTGGCCAGTTTTTCCCCGCACCCCCATCACGTCATCGCTTATTTCACACGCGAAGGTCAGCGAACCTCCCCCCACCCCGCTCCTGGCCCACTCATTTAAATCAATAATAATAACTATTTGTACTTCCGCACGCCCACCGCACACCAGCTATCTGCCGTCTCCCTCTACAAATGTCGCATTTCCTTAAACACCGCTGGAAGCTTTTTACAAAACCAAAAAAAAAGAAAAAAAAAAAAAAGGAGGGAAGAACGTTGGGGAAAAGCTTCCACTACGTCAGCTGGCTGTTAGTTTTTCTCTGGTATTAGTTTCTAGGGGCTGCTCACGCTTTCCCCAACCCACCCTCCCCCAAAACTTATAGTATTGTTAAGAGCTTTTGCTGCTGACATTAGCAGCCAAGGTCGACGAACTAGAGTTCAAGGTTCCGGATTGTGTGCTGTTACTATAGTTGCTTCTCTTTTTCCTGCTTACGGCGCGTGTTTTTTTTTGTGCTAGAGGGATGGTTGCAAAAAGGGGGAGCATTTTATTCCGAGTCTAAGCTAAGCGAATGCGAATGTTCATGTTATTTCGCCATTTGGCTTTCCGGGATTTGAGTTACATGAACATGCGCCAAGTGCCCCAGACAGAGAACGTGCCACCCACCGCCCAACCCCCCTTGGCCACCCACCATCAACCACCCATCATCGCAACTACCCACCATTGTTTTCAGCAACTTGATTTTTAATTTACGTTTGATTTCATGTGTGTTTTTGCTTTTTATTTGTTTCGTTCTGTTTCAATAAGCACACGTTGTGCTGTCTGCCGTGGATTCTTCTTTTTTTTTCATCTCCCCCGTTGGGAGCTTCGATTTTCGTCTGATTAACCTTGAAAATGTGTTTTATTTGTGCGCAAAAAAAAAAGAACGAAAAGAAAAGGAAAAAGCTATACAATAGAATGAAATTGGCTCGCATAAAAGAGAGAGGGAAAACTAGCAGCCGGCAACCGGCAAGCAGATTTTCCCCGCACACATTTTCTTTTTGCCGGCGCTTTAAGGTCGTCGTATCATTTGATTTTTCGTTTCGAAAATATTTCTTATTTGCGCAAAAGCGGAAATAGTTTGCGAAAACACTAATGAGTGAGTGTGTGTGTGTACTGGGGCTATTTATGACTGGGCGGTTATCCCCCCGCGAATTTCCTTTCCCGTATCACAAGATCACAAGAAGCGACCTTCAATTGGCGTTAGTAGTGCTTGTGTTTTTGCCAAAAATAATTCCCAGAATTCTTGTACCGGCTGATATGGACAGCGGTATTGAATAATCTCTAGGGCTAATCGTTTGGCTAGAGGAATTTTCTATTTATACCGGTATTCTATTTCTTATGGGCGATCGCAGTCCGAGATCGGTGCGACTTAACCTCACCTTGCACCGCCGTCGAATCTTCCGCCTTCCGTCATAAACTGAATTGCCGACTTTCGCGCATTACGACGCTTCCTAATGAACCACCTGACAATTTTACAGATTGCTCTCGCTGTCGCTTTATATATGGTGTATATTATAGAATATATTGCATTTTTGTGACGCCGTTTGTCTGGCATTCGCTTCCTCATGCTCATGACATTTTATGCATATTTTTTAGTGCCATTATTGTTTACTCATATATAGTGGAAATATCAACTGCAAACAGAGAAAGAGAGGGAAGTGCCGTCGTCGTCGTAGCCGCTCATTTCATTCATTCCAAGGTTAAAAAATAACTCGCCCCAAGGTCGTTGGTCGTCGTCGAGCTAGTCTACAATACACACAAATATGTGTGTATGTGTGTGTGTGTGTTCTTTATGGCACTTCTTGAACTGCCGATCGCATTTGATTTCTTTCTTCTCGAAATCACCAAATCAAATTTTAACTTTTTTAGCCTTGCACTTGACTCTGACTTTGTCCCGCTGTTTTTCCCAATTTCTTTTTTTTTGCTCGCTTGTCGCATTTTGTATGTGCTCATGTTCGCTTTTAAATATTTTAATAATAATTTATTTAAATGGACAACGCATGTGTCTGGCCCACCCTACCCATCTCTTTCTAATCCTGTGCTATCCCTCTCTTTCCCACCCCCCGCGATAGCAGTGTGCTTTCATTAATAATGACGCTACGCTTGACCTTGAGCTTTAGAACTTTGTTTGTGTACTTTGTTGTTGCCGAGAGCCGGGACACGTTTTTTTTTTTATATTTTATAAAGCACTTTTCTTTATCGCATTTGGTTGTGGTATGTGTTTTTTTTTTTGGGTATTTTTTTTCAACGCCCCATCATTACTTCCTATATTTCTGTATAACCCAATCCATTTCCTCTGACCCCAAAAAAAAACACACAGTGACGTCGATTGTAAAATAAACAGTAAATGGAATTTACAAAACTAAATAAACGATAGCTGCTGGCATTCATCATTTGGCTGTCATAAACCTGACATTGACGAGCTTTTCGTCAAGAACTTGACCCCAAACTTGCCACTTCAATGGCCACGTTTGGAGGCCCCACAAGAATCGCCGCAGAGTCGAAGACTCAGCAGACGAACGTGTGGCCCGCGATTTCCTGGTTTAGAATCGTGCAAACAGGTTCACCTTGGCGCATGACTAACGCCGGCAGTAGTAGGCAGTAACCAGTAACCAGTAACCAGTGACTAGCTAGTCTACGTTTGTTATTGCTATTGCCATTGCTTTTGTTATTGCTATTGTTGTCGCTGATCTATGCATGTCAACAGAAGTCGGCGGCCCGGAAATGTGACTTCGCCTACACCGTAACCTTTGGCGGACTATTAATATAGATTGTATTGATAGACATAGGGCTGTTGGCATTTTCATCATTTTATGGCCAATTGTTATTTATGATACTACCCTAAATGGTATTGGAAAAAGTCTGCAACATATGTTTGCTATAATTCAATCCAGATTTTTGTAAATAATTAATTTTAAATTCGGTAATAAATAAATTTATTTGGGAAGTCACTAAAGGTGAATTTACTAGAACATAGATTTATGTACCAATAATATTGTAAGATATTAAAATAAATCGGATCACCTATCTATCTTTGGTTTTCAATGTAAAATACATGTTTTATTTGAAGTTTCTAGCTTGTTTCCTATATTTTTAACTAGTTTCCTATACTCATTAGACTACTTTAGCCTTAATAATTTATAATAAATTCAAAGTACAACTCACCAGAAGTGTGGGCATGGAGTAGGAGGGGCAATCCCGCGCCCGCTGCCGCATCGCCGAGACCTTCTCCTTGGTGAACTCGCAGGTCTCGAGGTGGGCGCGCAGCACGGCGGCGAGGAGGCGTGGCTGGTCGTCCAGCTCGGTGGCTAGGGCTCTTTGCTGGCCGCGATTCTGGGTGCTCTGTTGCATGGCCGCCAAAATACGCGCCTTTTCGCGCTTCGGCACGCGTCCAAAACGCACAGCTGCAATGGGAAAGAAGCGACGGAAATTTCGGTTAGTTTTCGGCCTTGTAAGCGGTGCTTAAACTTAAACTTCAACTTAAACTTGAGCATAAAATTATGGTTCCCCATCAATTACACACTTCATTGCACGCAGAAAACAGGTGCAACAGACATCTGTTGCCGTTGTCCTGTTGTCACGCAGGAAGTTGTCCGTTTTCCCCTGCAATTTACTGCCCTTCGAAGTGGGTCATTGCCTCAGCTGCCGCTGATCTGTCAGTCTACAGTCTTCAGTCTTCGTTCGTTGGTCTTCTCCCCCCTGTTACACTTTCTCTTTTTTTAGATTTTTAATTTCTGCCTTTGGCCGCAACCGAAAAATTTGTATGTGGGTGAACTTTCACATTTCACCAACGAGGGGAACAACAAATCAGGCACGTTTGCGGTCACGTTTTTCGCACTAGGAGTGAAATAAAGAGGAGAGTGCAAGAAACGGGCATCGACAAAAGTCGGTCGAATTGTGGGTGCGCCAATTGAGAAGAAGATTTGCAACAGATCAAAAGACATTTTAAGACCAAACAATTGCAAAAACTAAATGATTTATTTTATATTTTTAAATAGTCAAAAGTACATGATTTATTTATACAACTTATTTATCAGCTCACTTAAAGCTATTTAACCCAATTTCTTTTCTTTTCCAAAGCCTTTTACAGCCCATTCAATATATTTTTAAGCCCATTTAGAGCTATTTATATTATTTTTCTAAAGCCAGAAAGCAATTTGCAACCATCAGACAAAATCTGACAAATGTTTGGCCAACTTTTCAATGTCAAAAGAAATTTCTACTCGCACAATTTCACTCCGGCTCGATCGCAAAAGTGAAACAGGCACTCTATTACTGATTTTTCACTGCTTTTTCCAGCAGCCAGCGAGAGAGTGTGACCCACTTGGCGCGCAGCGAAATTCAGGTCAAACGAAATGGAAAATGAAGTCTGCGCAGGCGCAACGGCGGACTGCGCGTAGAAATTAGAGCGACGCGCCGCATCGTCCAACTTTCCCATGCGGAGAGACTGAAAAAGTTGGTCAAACATGCGATATTGTTGCTCCGCTCTTTCGTTTCGGCTCTTTTTATTTTGCTTTTAGAAAATAGCAAAGCAACGCAACGCAACGCTGCCTTCGCCGCAGTTTCGATTCAAGTTTAAAGCTCTTCCGCGGCAAAGAAAAAAATTATTGTATGTTTATAAACGAGGTCACCACTTCAATGGCGCTCGCTTTTGGTTGTTGCTATTTGTTTGGAGGCATCGACGGGAGAAATATAAAAAAAAAAGGTAAACAAAAAGCGAATCAAAAGTGGAGAATCTCAGAACGCCTGCATTTCTCTGGGAGTTTTTTTTCGCTTTTTTTTTTTTTTTTTGGAAACCGAAAGCTGGGTGTTATTTTAATTTTGTTCAACTCTTTTTTCTAGCCAAATCTGTGTCAGACGGCTTAGGGAAATTGGCTTGGCTCTTTCACTTTCTAACTCTTGTGCGACTTTCGGATCGGTTAACTTACGCGCATTGTGATAGTTGACGTTGCCTTTAAGTATGCCCTTCAATATCGGCAGTTCTTCGCCCATTTTTCTGTTTTCTGTGCTTGTTTTTTGGGTTTATTTTGACGAAATATCTTGACTTGGTCACTTGTTGTTTTCCCTTTGGGGGCACATCAACCACTCAGTTGAGCTCGCTCATTAAATATTTTTTTTGGATAACTCTTCTTGGTTTTTTGGCACACACACAGCTTTTTGGTTGGTACTCAGGTACATGGATATTTGTTTGAGAAACTTGTTGTTATCTTATTTGCACTTAATCTCGTTTAAATATTTTTTTAATTAACTGCTGTTTTGTTGTGAGAGGAACTTTGTTTGCTTGCTTTTCACATTGATTTAATTTTTGGAATATTTAGCAAATAAATTAGTGGTTGGTGTTGGTTTGGTTGGTTATCATTTTAGGCGCGTAATCCAGACAGACGAGTAGTGGGTGTTGAGTGTTTGGGGAGACTTGGTCGACTTTTCTTCAAATTAACAACTGCATTTAACATTGATTGGCTTTAACCAGCATTTTGTTGAATTTAATTAATAATTAATAATTTAAATAATGATTGCCCTTTAAATATTGGTTTAGTTAGTTGGGGCAACTGCGGCACTCGCGTTATTCTTGGCTTATTTCGGATCCCGCGGATCGCTGGCTAATATGACAAAACTCGACAAGGTCTCGAACGCGACTAACTGTAAAAGCCAAAGCGCGTTACGAATATACCCAGAGGTATGGTATATGGTATGTGGTATCGTATCGGGCAAATCGAGGAGAGGAGAGCGAACCTCAACTGCGGCGACTGCGACGGCGACTGAGCTCCAAAACAGAGGCAGAAAACTGAAAACGCCGCACAAAACACACAGGCAAAAAAAAGCCGCTGAGGCAACGACCAACGGAGCGGTCGAAAGAGAGTTTTAGAGCGGACTTAAGAGCGGGAAAAGCTCTTTCCCAATGAGCAACCTTTGTTATTGTGCGGGGGCAACAAACCATTATAAGAGAGCTGAGTCAGTGATAAGGTATGTAATTCGTTTTGATTAAAATTTATAATACTAATAATAATATTTAATTGTATGACAATGAATATAACATTTTGAATACAAATTCTGGATTTTATTTTCAGCCTTTTTTATACTTTTCCAAATAATTTCCCTTTTAACCTTAAATTTGAATACTTAGACCATTTGATCTCATTTAAGCTTAAATATTGTGAAAAAATTTTGCATTCTTTAGTATATATTTTCTTTCCTTTATCCCAATAATACCTTTTGTAATTGTTTTTTAACTTATTGAAACAATGACCCACCCCACAAACAAAGCAAGTTCAAGCACTGATAAGCTTGTCCCAGCTCTTTATTTTTAAGGACGCTTATCTGTGCTTGTATCTCTCTTTTCTTGGATACCATCTTCATCAGCTCGGAAAAGTTCAACAAACTCGGAAGAGAGATATTAAGAGCAATACACTCTCTTTAGAACTCTTAAGCTTAAGAGCTTTTCACCACGGAAGAGCAAATGATGTTGAGTTGTGCAAGCTTTCGGAAAGCTTTGTCCATACTTGTCATTTGGAATTTTTTGCACTAGGCCATTTTTCACGGTGCGTATGAGTGATGTTTGCTGAACATTGCGCATACGTTACGTTGACAGGTGGAAAATCTAGACTGGAGGCTGGGACAAGTAATGAGATTGTTAAATCAAACTTGATGACTTCACGCCTGAGTGGATAATTTACGACACCACTGGCCCCGTCTGCTTGTCGAGGGTTAAGCATTGAGTTTGCATTTAAATGCAGATTTCGCTGCCGCCAGAGCTGACTCACTCCGATCACTACGAACTGACGTGAGTGTTCCAGATAGTTTGTTTATCCAAACTCTGGCTTTGTCATCGAGTCGGTTCGGTTTACCCCAACACCACACCACTGGTCAATGAACCTAGTTGCCCGAATGAGGCCACAAAAACGTAACAAACGACGACGACGGACAACATTTAATAATCATTCCGGCGATGCGACGAAAGTAAAAGTGAAAGTTGTTTGGCTCCGTTTTTTCGGGTAGAAATTTTCGTGCGTGCCATGGAAATGCAAGCGAGTTGATTGGTCAACAGTGTTGGGTAGTAGGCCTATAAAGGTTGCATAACGCCGCGAAGATTGGGGCTAAAGACCGAAAACACAAAAAGGCGGAAAGACAGAGAGACAACTGGATTTAACTGGGGCGAAGGTGGCCCAAAAAACGAAACTATTGCGATGTGATAACAGGCCGGTAATTTAATTGGTTCATATATAATTACTTCCATTATTGTAACTTCTTACTGCTCAAACTCTATTTTTGTTTAAAATATTTGGAATCTCTAATTAAAATCTTTAAATATTAAATCGTAATACATTTTATAATTATTAATTTCTCATCTCTCATTCACAATGCAAAACTTATATAAGACACTTCGGCGGTTCGAGAGGAAACCAGTTCAATAGCATCGCTTCGGTCATAATTGACATTCACAATAATGCCGGCAATTAAAAGCCAATTAACAAGTTTCACTTTCACTGCGACAAGACGAAGTGACGCTAGCCCCATTTTTTACCGTGCCATCCCAAGTGCCTTGTATCAAGTTGCTTTCTAAACTCGAATTGTTTATGATTTCTTGTTATTGTTTGGGCATTAGTGCGCCTGACTTCCTGAATTACGGGGAAATAATAAACGAAAGCCGAAAACCAAACTTGTTGTTTGCGAGACAGCCGAGTTCATTGCACTCCCAAAGCGGAGAAAGGTGGAGAAGAGTGCGGCGAGGTAGGCCTACTTTCGGTTTTGGGGTATAGCAAAGGTGATTCACAGACACCTCTGGATGGCTTTACGTAAAGTCACATAAGCGACACAATTGTTGTTGCTTTGGTTTTTGGTTTCCTTGCGTAAGTTGTTTACAACGCGATCGAAGCGTGTGGAAAGAGCCACACGGACAAATAAAAGGGGGCACACAAAAGAAATGATATGCCAAAGAAAGGGGCCGAAGTGAACCCCAAATAATAATAATAATAATAAAGCCATCATGCGTTTGTTTGGAAGTTTCTTGAAATTTCTCAAGACAAAAGAAAGCCCCCGCATAAGCGAGTATTTTTATATTTATTTTCGGTTTGGAGCCTTCGCCGTCGTTGGCTTTTTGTGGGTCATGAAAAATGCCTCAATGAAAAACGTCGGGGAGGTCGCCGCCGCGCATTTAGCGCACAGCACTTGACATCGCTCTGATCGCTCAGGGTAGAGTAGACCCTGTGCCATATTATTAATTTTACATGAAAAGGTCGTGCCTCGTTTCATTTCTCATCGATGAAGTGTGGAGAACAAAAGGCGAAAATTAAACAAAAGGCATTCAAAGGCAGTCGCATTACAAAATATTGTTGTATGCGTATTTAAAGGCTAATTTGGGAGCACACTGCGTATAAGTAATGTGTAAGGTTACTTAAAAAAGCAG